AGGGCGATGTCCAGAGAGTGAACACAACCCCACGCCTCTGTTGGATAGTTTTTAAACACTTGGAATTGTTTCTGCAGTGGACAGGTTACATCATGGTGAGACTGGCAAGGACGCCCCTGCCAGTGAGGCAGGTGAACTGTGACCTACTTTCAGCCAGGGGTCGGAGCGCACCTGGGCCCCCAGTGGTAGCATAATGGCCCACCAGGAAACAGTTTCTATGGTCCAGTATTTTGGGGCATGTGATAGCACGTAGATGGAGTTGATCTGTGGGTCCATTCTATAAAGCTACTGCATCATTTAAACTCATCCACGTTCTCTCCCAGCATTTCCAAATATGTACCGACCTGCTGTCTCCTTGCCGCTACGTAGTTAAGTTTCACCATCTCTTTTCCAAATTCTTTAAAGCGATTTGCAAGATCTTGCTCATTTGTAGCATTTTTGACAGCTTCCAGGGCCTCTTCCACCTAAAGTGGTAAAAGCACACCAAATTTGTAAGTAGACAGTATTTAAGTATTATTAAACATGTCACAAATGGTCATTTTTAAAAGTTAATATGTATTAACATTTAAATGATACAATAAGAGGAAAGGAAATCTAGTAATTATTTCTAGTCAGGTTTAAATACTCATGCATGATTTACAGACTATTTTGAAAAGATGATAATTTTTGAAAAGATGATGATAACCACTATGCCAGAGGTGGCATAGTGGTTAAGGTGCTGGACTCCCACATGGCCAACCATGGTTCAAGTCCCATCATTCAAGTCCTGGATCGGGTGGCTTGAAACACACCAGACATGTATACATGTGTACCCAAAATCCCAGAAGGAGAGTGGATGATAGGAATTGCAGCATGGCCACCCCATCATGGGGGGATTTCCTACTTTTCCTCTCACTGTTTCTCTAGTGAGCACACATGTCCTATAGTAAAAACCTTAAAAAAGAAGAAAAGAAGATAATTGCTGAGCTCTTAGAGCATATAAAAATCCTGTATTTATTGTCTATTATTGACTTACAATTCTGGTAAGAAATACAGATGTCTATTTTAAGTAGAATGCTAAGGAAATTAATAAAAACATGAAATTTTAAAAGAAAGTCTAGGAATCTGGAACCAGCAGGTGACGTGGTGCTTAAGGCACTGGACACTTCCACATGGGTGACCATGGGTCAAGTCCCAGCCCTGGCGGCTTTCTCTCTCTCTCTCTCTCTCTCTCTCTCTCTCTCTATCTCTCCCTCTCTCATCAAATTAAAATAAATGAATGGATAAATAAAATGAAATAATTATTTAAAAATAAACAATAACAAAGTCTAGGACTCTTTGAAGGAGGAAATAGTTCACAAAGGAAAACTGGAGAAATTCCCAGGCTGCTGAAAATTTGGGGAAACTCAAATCACCAACCAATTTTGCAGCACCTCAAATCTGGCACAAAAGAGACTGTCATCTTAAACTGAGTTTACACCTTGCCATCCAAAGGCAAGGGGAAATAGTGAGTGCCTAGCAGCAAGTAAATTTGAAGTTTTGTGGCCATTTAAAGGTGCCATCAACTTGTCTTGATGGAGCTGGCCAAAACGACAGCAAGCATGCTACCTTTACAATGTGCTGTTTCCAAATTCCTCCAAACTGCCTCACTGAACCTTTCCAGAGCGCCATGGGCCATGAATTATTGATTTCACCAAAATCCCTTTAAAAATAACCTATTTGCGTGGTACTGAAGTCTCTTCCCCTCCAAAATGATCTTAACTTTACTATCTGTGGACTCAATGAAAATGAAAATTAAGACACTGATGTGAAGAATTGCACGCAGTCAGTGTCAGTCAGGCAGCATCTGTGTAGAAGTCATTTGATCAGTGAAAATCATCAAGAACACAGTCTTGAGTGAATCAGGCACTTATATATGTATTTCTGCAGAAATCACATGTTCTTAAACATGAAAGGAACTTGATAGCGAGGCCCTCAGCTAGTACAGCTCCTCAGAGAGGCAGTAGCAGCTCTGAAAGAATAATGAGAAATGCAGGGAATATTTGGGCAGAATGCAGATCAGTTCTTGCAGTTTTGGGCAAGTCAAACGACGGTACATAGATAGTTTCTTATCTGATGATTCGGACACACAAATGACTAAAAGGACTTGAAAAAGTCAAAGACGAACTGAGTTCTGAGCTACAGCCATGTACCTCTGTTTTAGCTCAGCCCAATCCTCAAGGTGACTAACACAACTTCCTTATCACATTTTACTCAGAGAAGGAAAAGAACAGTGCATATAAACCAGTGATAAGGGATAGGATCAAGCTTTCTACCCCATAGGTATGATAATATCATTCCACTTTCCAAACAGCCTAAGTCATTTTAGTAAGGAAAGAGCTGTAGCCAGCAAAGGAAGGGAATTTGAACGATGGCAGTGAGGTGGGCAGAGGGGAGTAATTCAATGTAGTGTCCACAAAAAATTGTTTCCATTCTCATCTTCTATGGAAACTCTTCATTATTTTCTTCCTAATTGTAAAAATACAAAATGGTGATTTAACTCCTCAATGTTAGTCATCTATAACCCCCATCCAGGATCTCATACTACTCAAGAAAAAGAAGAAATACAATTGAAAAAGGGACCGTTGTGCATTAGGACTTTTTTTAGGCACTCAAGTCAAATGACAATTTATGGTGTGGAATGGCCCATGTAAAGCATTTTCAGTTTAATGGGACTCATACCTCAAGTCTGTAAAGCAACAAATCAGTGATGTCTCACTTTCGAATAGATTTAGGGTGGTTGGAACTTGGCTGTCTGCAGCATCATAGGGGGACAGCTCTTGACAGTTAATTTGCTCCTGCTGCTTATTTGAGATGTAAATCTTTTCTCAGGACATAAAAACTGGTTCCAGGGAACAGCGAAATAATTATCTCAGAGGGAGCTAAATACTGGATTTGTTTTCTAATATATATAAAACAGGCTTCTTACCAGTTGTTAATCAGACCAATTTGGAATATTTACTCTGTTGCATTATACATAACTTATTTTCTCATTGGTTTCTCCGAAGAATCCATATGCTGGTCTGAATTTATATTTCTAATTCAATGAAGTTTTTGTGTGTATTTGCTTTTTAAAGACACACCAATGAAGGGCTGTGTGTATAAAGGTAGACTTAGCCACACTCAGAGCTGAGAGGTCACCTAGTCAAGAGTTCTTATACAGGCTCATGGTTCAGATTCCATGCAATGAGCAGGTAGGACCAAAGTCAGTCTAGATTATAAGCATAACAGTGCTAGTAGATAGATAGGAAAGAGAGAGCTATGAAAAGACATGGAGAAGGAAGAAACAGCGGTAACCAGGCACCCCCCCCTCCTTTTTGTTTGCTATAGGGCTTGTGTGCTTGCCAGAGAAAGACAGAAAGAGGTTAACTGAGAAATCAGGCCCCTCTGGGGAGATACTATGCAATCCCTCCTCCATCATTCTCCTCCTGGGATTTTGAGAACACACGCACACAAGCCCAGTATGATTTTCAAGAACCTGGTTCCAGAACTCAAACTGCAGTGGGTCATGTGGGCGTCCACGGCCTTAACCAACGTGCCACTGATGCAGGGACAGAGAAGGACAGGGGTGATCAGTCCCACCACCCATGGTGGAACTTGGGTTCTTGTCTGTGGCTCACAAAGATTCAGACATGGACATAGGTAAACGAGCAGCATTTATTAAGAGGAGGAAGGAAGAACAGAGGTCTCAACAGAGAGCGGCCCCGAATGGGTTGCCAGCGTGGGCCTGAGGTGAGGGGCTTTTATCTGGGACAGAGGGGCTTTGTCCCTGCTTCTTCCCAGGCAGACTTGTGCATGCATTTCCCTCATGGTGCAGGTCACATGCTGCATGTGTCCGTTATTTTTCTCCTAATTTTCGAGCGGGTACGGAGGTCAGGTGACTCTTTGCCTAAAAGTTTTGGGCCATAAAAGACCAGGACCTTCTTTCTGGAATGTGGTCAGAACCGGAAAATGTCTTTGTTTTAGGTCGATCCTTGAGTCACTGCTGTAAGCGGTTTCTTGTTGAGCTGCTATTGAGCTGCTGTCTCCATCTTAAAACGTAGTCGTCTTGTGATTTCGTTCAGTTAGGCTTAAACCCTAACTGTATTCTTAGGGTTCCTGTCTCCTACCTCGCATGGGTTTTTAAAAAGCTTTTTACAAAGAAGTAGTGGTTAATGGTCACAACAATTCTTATATCATTTAGCCTCCTGCCATGGGTGCCCTTTGGCCCTAACTCTGGCCTGTTGGCACCAGCTATTCTTTTGAATGGCATTTTCCCTCTGTATTTTGGGTCTACCAGCTTATCATGTAGTTTTCACTGGGTCCAGGTGCTTTGGATTTCAAAGTTAGGGGCTGTCTGGTCCTCAGCCCCTGACTTTAGTTGTTTCACCCAAGGGCACATTGGCCAAAGGGACAGCGGGCAGGGAAGGATGCGACTTCCATTAAGTTAAAGTGGTTGGCTGGTTTTACCGTCCCTGTTTTCCATCTCAGTGTTCCATCATGTCCCCCTTGTGTTAGTTATTCTACCTAACCACCTAGCCAGGGTCCGCCTCACCACCTGCTGGCCCTGAACCAGCACTTTTGACCACTCAAAATTAATATAGAAATCTTCTGTATTTGGAAAGAACCTAAGAGGTTTGTTCCTCCTGGCTGGTGAAACGACATGGACTCATTTGAGACAAAGGAAATGTCCTGCTCTCATTTGTGAATCCAGCCTGTCCAACCTGGGTGCACCTTACTGGGCAAACCTTTTGGCCGTCCGTAGTTCAGGGATTCTAGAGGAGCAGAGGGTGGTTCTCCTATAGAAGAGCCTGGAACGCTTCATTCAAAGCACCCCTGCTTGGGTCCCACTCAGGCCCAGCAGTCCCTGTGTGGGGAGGGCTATGGGTTCACACTGGTCCGCGTTTGAACTCCAGCTATGTCATTTGTTAAGTCTGTGATCCAGGGCACACTACTCGATCATCGGAATAGTCATGATGCACTTTTGCACCGAAAAATACATCATGACTTTACTGATGACCCAGTATTTAACCTCTCTGACCCTCAGCTCCTCATTAATAACATGAGAGTCATAGTGTCTCTACACGCACAAAGTTACTGTGAAGATTAAAGCAAATAAGAAATGCGAAATAGTACATGCTTAGCAGAGTGCCTGGAAGAATGAGCTGGCTGCTTCTTAAATAGAGGTACTGACCTATGTAGTTCTGTTTTAGAGGGAAAACATCCTAAATAATCTTGGAGAAGAAGGCTTGGAATACGCTGGGAGGGAGTGGGAGGAAGGTGCAGAGAGGATGCAGGCTGCAGGCTGGGCTCAACGGCTCCGAGGAGGGTGGTGGTAGCAACAGCAGAGCCTCTTGATAAGGGGGGCATCTGGAAGATGCTTATGTCCTGGTTTCAGAAATGGTTTCCGACAAGCTGACATAAAAGGACCCCTTCCAAGACAGCTGTCATGTCCTTCCCCAGTAAA